CTGCTATGTTGCAGAGTGAGTCTGCAACAGCAGCTCTTGTGAGGTCTACAGCTTCCAGATCTGTTCAAGCAAAAATACATATAAAAGTTAAAAATAGGCTAGGTTGGGATATCACTCCAAATGAGTTTTAAAAGGTCTCATAAGTGGTTTCTCATACACTGTTTCAGAGAATGGCCAGGAACTGCAAACCGAAGCTGCTAACAGCACATCCCGTTGTCAAGAGAAGGGGATTAGGTGTTTGGATTTCAACATCAAAGTCTCATTTATATATAAAGCATAAAAAAGAGAGTAGCCAATCCCAAAAATGATCTCTGCATGATTTTCAGTGTTTCTAAGAAGTCCACTTCACATCTTGCTGTGACAAACATAACCTTTAACTAAACAGAACTTTTCCCCCATCCCAAAGCCCAGCCAAAAAAAGCTTTGTATAAGTAATCTTTATAGACCATTGATAAGATTTTATAACATTCATCATTCCAACACCATCTAAAAACCTGTTACATGGCAGACGTTTCTTCAGGGCTTGCTGTACACCAAACAGTGGATCAACTGAGAAGAGAGCATGAGAAGATATTGCAGTTGGTTTCAACTCCATGCCACATGTTTGTCATGGGTTTGCAAGCACATATTTCCTGTCCCAACACTGTTTTTATGTGCCATGAAGACATCCAATGAATACAGGAAAAACACTGTGCCTTGTTCTAAAAAAATGTGCTTAGTGTGGAAAAGTAGCACATCCTGTAAGCTCTTTCAAAAAAAAAATGTTTGTTGTCTATTTTTCGGGCTCTTTGGAAGGTTGTTCTTCCTAACGTTTCGCCAGTCTCTGTGGCTGGCATCTTCAGAGGACAGCACTCTGTGCTCTTTTAAAAAAAAAAAAACCTCACTGTATTAGTATGGCGCATTTTACAAATAATAAATCTGGCATCATTAAACATGCTCCTATCAAGTATGCCAGCACCAAATACACAAGTTAAAAATACAACAATCACCAACTGTCAGCCTGAACCCAACAGCTCGACTGGAAGATAAGTAGAGCAGGGTATCTCTACTTCATCTAAGGTTACACATCTTGCAAAGTACTTGCAGCGATGGCTGACCAACCTGCTCTCCCTACAAATCTCAAGTGGGTCAAACTAGGCATGAGAGCATTCATTTCCCATCCATGCCACAAGCTGGTGCTCCACCAGCAAAACTCCACTAGCACTGAGATCCAGTTCTTGCCAAGAACTCTCCTCTCTCCTCCCTCCATGTATTTGATGCACAATAAGCCCAACTGCTCTCCCATTTCAACATGAATATATTTAATACTGTATACTAAAGCTGAATATATACCAGGAGTTTGGGAATCATTAATCATTAATTTAGCATCTATTGACTACAATTATTTGGAAACATAGGTAGGTGTCTTATCCTGAGTGAGACTCTTGGCTCTTCTAGATGTATGCAATCAATTCTGAGTGGCAGCTTTGGGTCACCTGGGTTTCCACCAGGATTTTTGCCTAGCCCTACCTGGAGACCATTGTTAGTCACTGAGGACTCCCATCCAAGAATTAACCAGACTTGATCCTGCTTAGCTTCCAACATTAGATTTATGTTCAAGGTGGTACACTTGTAATTATTTAATCAAAATGCAAATCTGCAATGATACACATATATCATTTCCCCTCTCCAAATACATCTAAACATGAATATTTAGAACAGGAAGACCACAATCAAACAAGCAGATAGAAGGACTCCCAACATCTCTAGCTATTGGCCTCCTGGCTGGGGGTGGTGAAAATAATAGTCCAACATACTTTTAAAAATAAAGGCAAATTTCATTTCTCAGAACCTCTCTATCAACTAAGTCCCTCTGTCAATGCAAGAAATAAAGAATGAGCAGTAACGGTATTTGGTAGTTACACAGATCAGCCTTAACTAATGTAAAGAAACAAGGTAACTGACCTTAAGGCAAGGGTAAGCAATAAGATGCACAGTAAAATTCAAGGAAGCATTGCTAGAGACCAGTCCCCATGTTCCCTTCTCCAAATACAAAAGCTACTGCCTGATTCCCATTTTAATTACCCTACAGAACTGTCATGAGAAGGGAGAGGAAAATCAAGATTACTCCTCCTTAACTACTTCCAAAAATTCGTACTCTAAAATATAAATGTGATAGACTACACTGCTTTTACAGAAAATTTCAGTTTACTACTGAAATATATTTCACACATAAATATGCACTCACTCAAATGAATTTGGTTACATGTATTCAACTTTAAATGGGAGAGCAGGAAAAAGTGCTTCAATGAGGACAGAGTACGAGAAAAGGACAGCAGCAATAGACACAGAAATGCAGACTTAACAGACCTTGTTTAGCCTTTTGTATTAAACTGTACCGAAGAAGCAATACTGTATTTCAAAAAGCAAACTAAGAAAGCTAGTGGGCACTTGTACTTTTATCTGTTCTGAATTTAATAGGGTTTTTCATCCTGGCTCATTTTATTTGCCTGGCTCTTTATTCATTGTTGCTTGACAAAGGCCTTTGGAAAGTTTTTTTTTTCCTTTCCAAATTTTTAAGCACTATAAAACCTTGCCGTCATCATAATTTCTCAGTCATTACTTCCCACACTATGCCTTTTCTCCATGAGTTTAAAGGCACCTGTGACTATTTACCAGCCAATATGAAAAACTGTTGAGTACCACCTAAATTACCCAATATAATTACTGCAATTATCCATTCTTTAGGAGGCACTGTCAACTGCAAGTCAGTGTTGCTTATTAGTGGTTTCCTGCCATATTAGAATTTAATAAAAAAATTACTTTCTTTCTCCATATGCTCTAAAATGACTCTATCCTACGTACCAGTGTGTGATGTAAATCTCATTGTGGATGCTGGATTTATTTAGAGACAACCCCTTCGGCAAGCAATTTTCCATTGCTAAGCAGATTACACACCTAGTTTGTGGCCTCAACAGAGAGCATATATTCTAAGACACAGTACGGTGCCCCTTCAGAGTTCTACTGCCATGCAAAATTGCAGAATTAACAGGGCATGACTACCTGCCAGGGACAGGGTTTCTACTTTTAGAAGATAGTTCATTTCACTTATACAAACTTCTACATAAATGTGCTGTATAGCAGCTTAATTCGTCCAAAATTCAGTAACACGTTTTCTACTCTTTTGGGCGTCTGTTAAGAAAATCCTGTTTAAAGTAATAGTGTATGCTGCTCATATTTTCCAGAACCACCTTCTACACCCACAGATTTAAATTGCATTACATTTAATGGCTTTTTTCCGCATACATCTTCCAATGCAATACGATTAAGTTACGGTATTTTCAGCCACAACTGGTACTTATTTAAAAAATTAAAAATTTAAATGGTTAAATGTTAATCAATTAATTAAAGAATTAAATGGTTCAACCAATTAATTCAGTTAAAAGCTCTTGCTACAGTTCTGAATTGGATATTTTCCGTGGTTAGAATTTTACTGGAGATTTATGCATATGTAAGTGTAATTGCATAAATCACAGTGCAATTAATTAATTGATTTCTGCTGTGATTCCTGATACCATGCAAGTCACAATGCTATGTTCAAGTGGGAATATGCACTGCACCTTACAATGTTAATTTAACATATATTTACAAAGTTATTATCATTGGTAATAAATAAGTTATTGGTTGGGCACACGTAAGTGAAAGCATACGTCACACAACAACTAACAACGGCTAGCATAAGCATATAAGAGCTTTGGGTGTGAAAGATAAGTTATCAGCTTCCTTAAATATCATATTCCTCTCCAACATTTCTTATGTAATCAGTCTCCTTTGCTTACACATTTGACAAATAGCTGCTGCTAGTGATAATATAAAAAAAATTAAGTTTTCCAGGTACAATTCAGATAAAACATCAACTGATGTGCTTCCTCCTTGCAAGCCATTCTGAGTTTCAATTCTGGGAGAAAGGCAGGGCAGAACTCAAACATAAATTATGTGTTTCTGATGGTTGATTGTTTTATAGTAATTTTATTTTCTGTTTCTCTATATCTGTTGTTGCACAACACCCAAAGTAACAATTGCTAGATGGGCAGTACATGAATGAGATGCTATGCCTAAAAATCTCAGGGAGGAGAACACCAAATTGATGGTCTGATAAGAAGCAGGGGTTTTTCATCCATGGCATCTACATTCTCTACTCAGGGATGTTCACTATGCTCCTTTTATTAGATTTGGGGTTTGGGTTTGTCTGTTTGCCTAATTGTTTTAAAGAAGTAATTAGATTTCATTCTTGCTCCTCAAGGCCTTTAAGAATGGATGGCCCGGTTATTTTTAAATCTCCATTTGGATCTATTCACTCAAGTTTTAATAAGTCTTACTGGTGGTTATTTTACTGTTTTTTTTAAAATGGCTTTCAAATGTAATATAGATGCCCGGTGGCACAGCAGCCACAAGAACTGGGCTAGACTGAGCAGTGCCTTTGAATAGTCTCTGAGGTGTTTAACTAAAGAATTATCTGCCATATAAATTGACACGGAACAGAATACAGTGGTGCCTCGCATAACAGGTGCCCCTTTTAATGACGAATCCGCATAGTGACGATGTTTTTGCGATCACTTTTACGATCGCAAAACGATGTTTCCTCTGGGGGAAAATCGCTTTGCGATGATCGGTAAGCTGTTTCGCTTACCGATTTTCGCATAGCAGTGTTTTTTCCCCAGCTGATCAGCGGTTCCAAAATGGCCACCAGGAAAAACAGGGACGGATTCCTCGCATACCGGACAGCTAAAATGGCCACCGTATGGAGGATTTTTGCTTAAAAGGTAAGTTTTAAGCCCATAGGAACGCATTGAAGGGGTTTCAATGCATTCCTTTGGGCTTTTTAATTTCGCATAGCAATGAATCCGTATAGCGATGATTTTTGCTGCACGGATTATCGTCGCTATGCAGGGCACCACTGTATAATAGTGAGGTTTCAGATCTCTTTTAATCAAGCATTATCACAGAAGAAGAAAACTCACCTCTCTCAGTTCCTGAGCGACAGAATTCAAACGTTCATTCTCAGACTGGGTGTTGGCCAGGACATTTCTCAGCTGCTTTAGTTCTGTCTGCAACTCCATGACTTTTTTCATGTAATACTCCTCCTTTGTGGCTGACTCCTGGATCAAGGTCTCTTCCCGACTCTCTCCATCAGCTGCTACTTTCTTGTGGTTGGTGTGAGCCTGACCGAAAGCCTAGAAAATAAGAGCGAGAAAAGAAATCAGATCTTTGACAAGATGCTTTGAGTTAAAATGATTGAATGGCATTAGTGTTTTACTGTGAGTTGGGAAAACCTTGGTCAACAAGCTGACGAATATGCCAACAGTACTCCGAACTATGAACAGTAGCAATCTACTTGCCATGTGAACAGCGGGCAAAACACAGCCTTCTGAGTTTGTACTTCCCTTGCAAAGGTTTTCCCACTTCATGCAGGGTACCAGAAGTTGTGCTTCTTGCAGTATTCCAATCAGGAAGTGCGGTCCTAAGTTGCTACCAATCCTCAATGAATAATGAAAACCAGAAATAATCGCCCAGGAATTTCTGCCTTCAACTTTTTGCTACCTCTGTGTACACTACGGCCATTTATGGGCCTAGTGTGCCACATGAAAAGCTCTGAAGGTGAAAATTCAGCTCACAGAGCTGCAAAACTTGACCAGCCTGTCATACATAATAGCATTCATGTTCTTTTCCATTTCTAGTAAGATTATCTCCTCAAGGCAGAAAAAGTCGTATGTTGAGCAATATCTGAGATAACGAAAATGGCTGTTTTGAAAATGACAGTGATGAACAAGTTGCAGAAGGCATAGCCATGTTAGTCTGTGGAAGTGGTGGACAAATTAATCGTATAAAAAACAACCACCTTTCACTCATGTCGTCTTGCTAAGACTTTTCTACATAGCAGCTGAATTATGGCTGCATTTCAGATATGAGGCTGGAATATATCAGAGTGATAAGCAACTTATCTGGGCAGTGGAGTTGTGTTCCCTCTCTGTGCATCATCCCAGCTGAAAACAAAGGAGGACTTCACTTGCCCTTAGTGGCATCATCCAAGAACCAATGTTTTCGTGCAATTATATCACTATGTTCACTACATCATCACCAACGGTTTGGAATCACACATTGAAAAAAGGCTCTTAGAATGAAAAAAGTTGATGAAAGAGCATCAGATTAAGAAAGCATTAATTTTGAACAGACTTTTAAAAGAATGCACAAGCATTTTCAGGATTTTCCCTCTCCAAAAAAGGAACATTTGAAATTGAATTCAAACCTTTTAAAAATGTGGGGCAATATTTCACAGTGCCATATGTATGAGTGTTAAACTTCAGTTATGTGTAAAGATTCTCTTGATATTTAGAAAGAACATTTTGGCTGAAACCTTACTGAGTGGGAGAGCGATTGTGCTATTAAACTCTGTAAATATGTTCACAGGATTTATTGCCCATCTGGTATGAACATGTAACCTTGAGGAATGACCCTTTACTTAACGGCAGGTGTAATCTGAGCTGCACGCACACAATGAGTTTTTTCTTTGTTTATATAGAAAGCTTCTGTGTATCTTCTTGACTTTGTCGTCATTTAAATATTCATAAATTATAATAGGCAAAATCATAACTTATGCTGAGTGCACCCACTCTTTGGAATATTCATTTTGCGAAATTCTCCCTTTGTTTCTTTGGGTTATGGGAGGGACTTATGTTTTCATGCCTCCCTTATTAAAATGCCTTGCTGGAGAATTCCTTTGGGCATTGACTGCAGTAAATGTTCCTTATTGTTGTGATGAGTTACTGAGCAATGGGAATTTAGGAGATCCATTCTAAAGCAAAATTGTCCTGCCTAAATTATCCTTTGCTGTCTTCTATTTTAGGCATCTCTTCAGCCAGTGGTTCCCAGCCTTAAGTTCTCAGGTGTTCTGGGACTGTGTTAGCCAAGATTTCTGGGAATTGCAGTCCAAGAACATCTGGGGACCCAAGTTTGAGAACCACTGTTCTCTGCAACCCAGTTGTTTTAACCTGAAGTTTTCCTAGGTTATCCTAGTATTCATCACACAAATGGTGAAATATCCTAGTGCTATGAAAAGGACCATTCAAAATCCATCCCTGAACTGCATTTGGATGGTGCGTTAATAAGTCATGTTCTTCACAATCATATGTATAAACAAAGTTATTTTACTGCATATGTATAAACAAAGTTATTTTACTGCAGCCTTAAAAGCAGAGGTTGATACAGATAAAATCTAGGCGCCTCCTGAATCACTGTTCTAAGACACACCTATGTGTATCTAGATAAAATATGGTATGGATTTTATTGTCTATGCTGTACATATTTATTATGTCTCCTATAATCCTTCTTGACATGGTAAGAATGGTTATGTGATTTATACTCTCAGAATTCATCATTACCTCTGCTAATAATGTTATTGATTCTTTGGAATGTCAATTTCTGAGCCTGTATCTTTACTGGGTATTCCCTCCTCCAGGTTGTATTATATATAAACATGTGGTGGCTACGAATTTCACTCCATTCTTTTGAGAAAACGAATCACACAGAAATAAAGCTCACACTGAAATAAACTGGTTAGTCTTTTAGGTGCCACAATATGCTTTTTTTTTTCTTCATTGGTTGTGTCACACCATGAAAAGAGAAACCTAGCTGAACTATATGTCTATAGATATGAAATGCATTGAGCTGTGGAAGTTGAATTGTGCTCCAAAATGTAATTGTACTTCTCTTCCATCTGAGTGTTATCAAACATATGTAATCCTACCCAAGCGCACATGAAACAATTCTTATAACCTTGGACTGGACACATGAATGAAGTGTCTTGCTGCATTCCTAATAATGGCCATCTCCACTGTGGACACAAGCCAGACGTCACTTGTCCATATGCACCATGAAGAACAGAAAGAAAAGGGATTTTTCCCAGTTCAGCTTCTTCAAGCAGAAGCTGAACTGGGCTCCAAGATGCAAGTCCACTTCTCTTTGCTTATCGGAGTGTTATCAAGCACCTAAAATTAACATTTGTGAAACTCAGCAAACTGCTTTTATGAACAGATGTTTATAAAGTTAAGAGTGTTAATATTTTACGAAGGCGTATTCTAGTAACAATGTGTCTTGACAGATGGACAGGAGTCAATGAGATTAATATGTGCTTTGAATTACTGTGTATGCACCCTAGCATGTTCAAAGACAGATTTGGTTCTTCCTGATGGATAGTTATGTCCAAAATTCCACTTAGTAGAAATACAGGTTTTTCATTTAAAAATATTGCTAATACAAATGCTCTGCTTTCAGTAGGTCAAGCCAATATTTCTTCCTTCTCAAAACAATCCTCCTTTTTAAAATCATCTACCAAGTTTTCCATTAGCCATCTCAGTTCCCTTCAGCCTGTATCTGTCATCACAGAAGGAAATTTATTTCCAACACACACACAAAGTAGGCCCCAGGATTTCATTACTTCAGCATAGTAGGGAGAAGGCATTTACTGATATAGTCTTTATTGAATAAAACAGGGCTAACATATATGATGGAAGAGATCTGCCCCAACTTGTATTCAAGGCACCCACTTATTGGTTCTACCAGATTGAATTTGATTGCAGATAAGCAGACCAGAGAAACTAAAGACAAGGTACCCATTGAGCACAGTCTGGCCAGGTTCTCAAAGCAGCCCCGAGGGAAATTAAAAAGCGTCACATTTCAGACAGAAAGTAAAACACCATCTGTGCGACTGGCTGTCAAATGAGTTTCGGTTGTACAAAGCTGCTTAAAAGCCTAATGCCCAAGGTCTCTACAAATGGTAAATGTTAGCTGATATCCTATCTATCTATGTAAATTTCTCCTTAACACTCCAGGAGAACTTTTTAAAAAAAAAAAATAGAACTAATTTTATTTTTAACTGTTTGGTGTGGAAAATGAAGCTTCCATGATCACTTAATACTGAATTTCACAGAGGAATTTAACAGCATACTTTTGTACACATCTCCTGAGAAATAAATCCCACTGAGTTCAAAGGACTTAATCTCAGGTAAGTAAGTGGGTACAGAATTTCAGTCTTTCAGTAATTTCTTATACAAATTGGAACCGAGTCAGGAGTCTTAAGCATTAGCTAGCATGCCAATTTTAGGACAAAGAACAGTTTGCACACCACATGCTAGAGAGATAATACGGTTGGTGCGGCACACAAGCTACTGTAATTCTCAAACTCCAAAGTTGTTTAAAATGATGGCTCTGGTCTTGAAGGCCCTAACCAGCCTGTAGTTTCTATTGTTCCATTCAATCATCAACCCACATGGAGAGTAATTAGAAGATGAAAACCTGAAAAGGCATCTATGAAGGAACTAGTTAAGATCCTGTATTACTGGAAAACAACACTAAAATCAGCCATACTGTGATATTCCTGGTTATGGTGGACAAGAAGCATGACAGTGAAAAAAAATGATGTGGTGATGGAAAAGAGCTATAGGGAAACCATATATTGCCAGAAAGACAAATAAGTGGATTCTGGATGAAATTAAGCCTAAACACTTTCTGAAAACAAAATTACTAAATGGAGCCTATTGTATTTTGGATTTATCACAGAAAGATGAGATTTCCCAGAAACAACAATCATGCTAGGAAATGTATTCGTGAAGGCTTTCGCGGCCGGGATCTAATGGTTGTTGTGGGTTTTTCAGGCTTCTTGGCCGTGTTCTGAAAGTGGTTCTTCCTAACGTTTCACCAGTCTCTGTGGCCGGCATCTTCAGAGGACAGCAAATGTTGAAGGCTGTAGAAGAGATCGATTGATTCCATACAGGAAGCCGTCGCATTAAGTTTGCAAGATTTGGGGAGGATTGTTAATTGACAGGACCTTTTGGAGGTCATTAATTCATAAAGTTCCAGTAAGTACGGTCAGAAACAATTGGACAACACATAATAACAACAGCGCCCAAAGCCTCAAAAAAATAATAATTACTATCATAAAGTTCCAGTAAGTATGGGTCAGAAACAATTGGGCAACACATAATAACAATAGCGTCCAAAGCCTCAAAAAAATAATAATTACTATACCCTGTATTCTACAAAAGGGTCCATTCAGGAACAGGTATTTGAAAAATGGATGTGCTTTCAGACACATGTTTTAAGCTGCAGATGTTTAAAGACCAGAAATTTCCATAACGTAGAACTAAAATACAAATAACTTTAGTGCGTCCTCCTCCAA